GTTGTCTCATGTCACAATTATTAGATTTAGGTTGATAGTTTAAGATAGTATTGGTGGCAGAGTAAGAGCTAATGTTAGGTTAAGGTGGAGTTTATTGTTGCAATTAAGGTTTGGGTTAAGGCTGAAGTCACCTTCACAGTCATGGTTTGTGTTTGTGTTTGAGTTAGAATACATGAAAAGGTATTATTCCGGAAATTTAGCTCAATGCCACCTGCCTTATGCGGAGTTTTTCTATGTTACTGTCTTGCAAGCTCACACATACAGTACGCACCAGCATGCGTGCAAAATGCCGACATATGCAAAAGATTGATACTATTCCGCTAATCGGCATTGACTCAGGTTTTGATACTGATTACCTTGTAGTCTATCTTTAAATTTTATACTTAAATGAGAGCTATCTTTCGGCTTTAAAACAGTTTCTAATTTGCCGAATGATTTTGAAACCTACTGACTGCTACACTTGAAATCAAGGTTTACAAACTGCGACCTGTGTATATCCCGTTTAAGTAAAAGTACGTTTTCGTCTACAGTTTGAGGCAAAAAGTCACATTATTCTCATAAAATGTTGCAATAGATGTGGAGCATGCTTTAGACTGTATAGGCAGCATTAATAAATTGACGGATACGAAGTATTATGAATGAACACCTCATAATTAGAAATTTTTCTAAAACCGAAGCATACCATTTCTTTAAGCATAATGTTTGAAGAGGGCGTAATTTGCTACCAAACGAGTACAAGAAATATTTTTTTGTGCATGCTTTCTATAAAATATAGTTCATTTTATAAAGGCTGTCAAAATCACTGTTAAAAACACATACTATTTAAGTATTTACTTTGTACAACACATACGTTTTGTTAGTGGCCCGAACCAAACTCGTTAAAAAGCCCGCATCCTATCGTGACTAAAATAATTTCAGAATAGACTACAGTATCACAACCTGAGTCAGGGCCGATTAGCGAAGGAGTATCAATCTTTCGCATATGTCGGTATACTTTATTAATTCTGGCGCGTACTGCACAATTCAAAGTAATGTAATGCAATTGTTGATTTTATAAGAAACAGCACCACGTTCTCAGTTGGCTAGTGCTCAAGACACCTATGTCTTCCGGAACGAGTTGAAGGTGGCAACGTCTGGCTAGTCAACAGTTTCCTGCAGTATATTATCTCCTTGTAATCACATCTCTTCGTTTTTCAAGGAAGCTGATCTTATGACGCGTAAAAACTAAATTTTTATGATTTGAGCTGTTAGATATCTAATACAGCCACCAGTCAAGTAGGCAGGCAAGAACCTAGTCAGTTACATTCCATCCATCTCAGTCTGCAAAGATAGGACATTGATATGTTTAATTTTGTTTAGATAGGAACTGTGCTTCTAGAAGACAACTTAATCCGCCCAAATAAAATACTCAAAAATTAGGCAAACAAAAAAATCTCCGGCAAGACTATTTTGCCCAATAAAAAAGTATCCTTGAATTACGCACGAGCATCAGGTTGTCTGCGCAACCGCTATCACATGCCTTCGAGGATAAGACTCCGGACCGTTTTTTCACGCACGTGTCCCCGACAATGGCGCAGTACACTAGGCTGAAAATCTGCGGTATATTTTTGCCACTAAAGCAGC